TAGCCTTCTTTTTGTCGGCATTTTGTTTCTCGTCGTCGAGGCAACAAACAGCTTGTTAACCATTCGTGTAAACGGTTAGGAATGCGAATATCCTTTCGGTGCAAACTCCTACCAATCCGAATACTCTAAAATTAATGAATCCGGAAATATTTACGAATCCCAAAAAATCTCCTCTAGTGTAAACCTAGTCACAGTTTCTTCAATGGAATACTCCTTGCAGAGCCAAATAACTTCTTATCTTCTTTTAAAGGTGAATGTTAAATGGAAAAAATTATAGGAAAAGATATCTTTTGTCTCAAAAAAAGCAGCAGCTGTTCATCAATCGGCCTTATTCCGACGGTGCAGTTTTCTTCTTCACAGCCGATTAGTTTTAGACAGACAGAGCAATCAGTGAGTGACATTAATAGTAGTTTATTTAGTCTTAATAGTTTCAAATGCTTCATGTGTGTTTTCGTGTACACCCAACAGAAACCAAAAGCGCATCTTCGATGTATGTGAAAATCGTTTATGGTTTGGTTGGATTACTCATAGTCGTGGTCGCTTCTGTTGCCTGCTATATCGTCTTCAAAAGGTTAGCACTGTAATATATTAACGCCGCAATGAAACGGAACAAAGAACAGACATTCCGAAACTCTTTCTCTTTGCTAGTAAATTCAGCTTGGAGAAATTTCTTTAAAATACTGGTATGTGCGAATGGAAGCATAACTGGGTCCTGTTACTGTTGATTACTTCGGGTCAGAGGGTTTCATAAATANGAAAATGATAACAACGTGTTCACCAATGATTGGGCAGTTTTTTGATACCATGATTGTAGCATCAAGTGATAACGAGTGGTTATAACGACCCATCAAAATCTAAGGGTTGGAAACTGTTTTGAGCCACCTTAAGCTATCCACAGAATAGCTAGTCCACTCAAACTAGCTTGTATGCTCTCTTCTTTTCCTGGTTACGTTAGCCCTTACCAGTAAAAAAAATTCTGCTCTACTGAAAAAGGCCCATAAAGTTACCATTGCCAATGTAGAACAGGGTTGTTCCTAGGCAGAGCTCTAGCTCTGTGGTAAGAGCGACAAACGTTAGCTACACACCTCTCATTCGAATGAGTCTCGCTTTTAATTTTTTAGCAGAGTTCCGAAGTCGCGCAAAATGAGCCCCATACCTTAGAACATTTGGTAACCTATCGATTTCAAAAACTTTGGTTTTCACGTGACTGTCCGCACGTCCGTACGTGCGTCCGCCAAGCCCAATACCTTGAAAAATGAGAGAGTAGCGCCATTACCATAGATACATCTTTGTTACAACTATCAAAACAAGGTATCCGCTGACCAGTATCCCGGGATCATAAAGCGGGTTCAAGTTTAGTGCTCATGTATGCTTTTAAGTTGATCACTGACCAGGTACTGGTTTTTGACTGGATCGCAGGCTCAAGTCACATTATTTCTCTGGGAGAGAAGGAGGGAGTACGTGCACAGGCATAATTTCCTGGCGCGCGCGTACTGATGGGTCAATCCTGTCTAAAGATTCGTTTATTATTATTATTATTATTATTATTATTATTATTATTATTATTATTGTTGACTTTTCTTTCGATATATTCCTTGCACAGTCGTCTCTTGGAAAGTCCCTGATATATTGCTTAGGTACATGTAATTTCTACAATCTTGGCTACGCTTATTGGGTATAGTTTCTGAAAATCTAACCGGAAAAAATAGCGAAACCACACACTGAACAACTACATGCTCACAATTGATCAATTTTTTAGTTTCTTATTCACGAAAAACAAATCGTCTTTTTCCTTTATGGTTAATTATTGCTTTTAGGCTTGGCTAAATCTATATATTATACTTACAAATCAAAGTTCTCCAATATTCTCCAGAGGAGTAATTCTAATTAAATTCCAAAAGGCAAATCTTTATCATTCTAGTATCTTACCTATGTTTCTTAAACGTATTTGTTATACCATGCTAAAAGGTTCCAGAATATTCTCACACGTCGGAATGAAAAATTTGTCCCTAGACAACCAGAGCTTGGACAAATTTTCCTATTTGGTTTTTCCTCTATAGATATTCCAATGTTACCAGTATCTGAGAACCAAAATCATGATGACGTCATTTGGGATGTTTTTGAACTTGACCGTGAGCAGATAACGTTGGTAAGGATACTGGGTACTGGTAATTTTGGTCAAGTTTCCAAAGCAACATATGGTGATTCGAGATTGGAGGTGGCTGTTAAGTCTCTAAAAGGTATTGTTGTTATTTCCGTCACAATATTTTTCTTATCAGTAAGGATTTAGTTATTCATGAACAAGCTAAAACTAACGAGAAAACTCCCCGTTTCGGAGTCTTCATGACGTCATTGTCAAGTTAACGAAAAATAAAGAACACAAATTATGTAAGTTAGTAGAGGTGTAACAAAAACATTCTTAATGTACAAATGCTTTACTATGATCTTAAAATTTCGTTTACTGGCAATATGGGTCCAATTTTGAAGAGTAGGGAAAAATATACCAGAAGAAAAAACTCTCGCCGTGTATTTTTTACATTATTAACCTAAGACATTCAAACAAAGTGTGCGTTTGACCTATGTTAACGATGTTGTTGTAACAGGTTTTGTCTTACAGAGCCCATAATTTCGATTTCTTCACTGGTGAAACATCGAAGTTTAAACTTAACATTATGTGTCAACGTTATTGGTGTAACTGATAGAACGTATTCCTGCTTGCACTTTGTGATAGGACCCTTTTCAATCTATCATAGAAACTGCCCAGCAGAAGGACATACAGGACATGCTCACTGAATTAGAGGTTATGAAATCGATGCAGCCTCATCCCCATGTGGTCAGACTTATTGGTTGTTGTACTGAAAAAGGTCCTGGTTTGATTAAAACGATGAACTTGCATTTCGCTTGTTGCAGTTTGAACTCTCAAAAAACACTTTTATTAAAGAAGAATTAACCTGAAACATAAAACCCGAACCAGGGCATTCACATTGTTTACTTAATTTTAACGAGAACTGCAGTTACTACTCACCGTTCACCAATTGAACCCGCTTGAAGGGATCTTTGACTATTGGTAAATTTGTTTTGTCCATTCGAGAAAGCAAGAGTAGCGTAAGAAATGGAGTCTGGAATTTTCAAATATAATATAATTTTAGACGGTTGTTTAGCCGTTTTATTGCAACCGAAGTTTGTAGTAATATTAATATCATATCTCATTCTTTTTTTTTTGTTTGTTTGTTTTTTTTTTTAATTATTTTGACATTTCAGATCCGCTGTTGATTGTTTTGGAGTATTTACCATACGGTGACTTGTTAGGATACCTGCGCAAGAGCAGAGGACACGAAGATACATACAACACAGGAGAAAAAAGACCAAATTCCAGACTCACTGAAAAAGAGCTGCTATCTTTTGCTTGGATGATAGCTGATGGAATGAGCTATCTGGCAACAATGAAGGTAAACCATGGATCTGGTTGAATCCACCATCATTTCTCTCAAGGGGGACTGTGGAAGAATCTTCCTTCTTCTTAACTGGAAAGATGGAGTTCGTTTCTGGTTCGCTGTTAAGACAATGTGACAACAAATGATCTTTGTACTTGAAGAATTAACCCCCCCCCCCCCCCCCCCCCC